CTATGCCATCGCGCTCACAAGCGCAAGGCCAAGCTGGCCCGCCTTGCCCAGCTGATGAAGCTCCGCAATCTCATCGTCGTCCAGGAAACTCACGGCTCGGAGATTAAGCTCAGGACCCTGATCGACCAGCTGCCGTACCACTATCGCACCTTCTTCTCTGCGGTCGCGAACCCTGGCACGGGCGGCCTGGCCTTCCTGGCTCCGAGGTTCTCCGAGGCTGAGCTGCGCTCCGTAGACCAGTGCCTGCTCCCCTTGACCAAGATGAAGACGCTGGCGCCTGGTCGGGTTGCTGAGCTCACCCTCTCCAACGCGCACACCAACGAGCACATCCGCATCCTCAATATCCACAACCACGACGTCCCGCAGTCCTCTTTCGGCTCCATCAAGCGCAGCTGACTGGACGGGGCCCGCTGGGCGCAAGATGACGAACGCCACCGCATCCCCATTGCCATCGGCGGCTTCAACATCGCTGACCTGGAGCCGCTGTCCCTGGAGAGGCCCTCCGTCGCCGACCGCAGGACCATCAACCGCGAGACCGCCACTTTGACTCCAAGTGCCCCTATGCGGCATGGTAGCTGTGTCCGTTCTTCCTCTTCATCCTCTTCGGACTCGGGGTGGAGTCGTGCTCGACGGGCGGGCAACAGCCGCTCCGTCTGGCACCGCGGCAACCAGGGGCAAGGCTTCTGGAGAGCGCTCTTTCAGCAAGCGCTTGCTGAAGTCACATGCGAGCTGCCCGCGCACTTCTCCATGCAGTACCAGACCTGCCCCGTCATTGATCGCGCCTTCGTATCCCTGAAGTCGCATTCCAGTCTGAGCACGGCGATCTCGTTCGAGGTTTGGCAGGAGGCCGCGACGCTGGCGGACTGGGGCCTCAGTGACCACGCCATCATCCAGCTGAAGGTCTGGGCTCGTTCGCCATCCGAGCCTCACCGAGCAGTCTACCCCGCCAAACATCTTCAGCTCCCCCCGACACGTGAAGCACGCGAAGTCCCTACTGGACGTTGCCGACCTGGACTCCTTGGAGGTGGCCCCCCGCTGGGCCCCTGTCACGGGGATCATGACCGAGGCGGCGCGCCTGGCCAGGAACGAGACCCAGGCCTTCCCGATCGGCGACTACAGCGAGGATGCTGAGGACGGCAGACGGCTCTCCATGCGTGCCATTGCACGAGTTGTCTGGCGTCAAGATGCGCACATCGCGCGCCGCCTGATGCGATCGACGGCGCTTGGCGAGAAGCACCTGTCGATCAGCCCTGCTTAAGTGGTCTCCCTCATCGCCCCTGAGGACTTCGAGAGGGATTGCCGCTGGCTGCACGCGGCCTGGCATGAGCGCCAGCGCGCCGCGGGCTGCGCAGCGTAGGGCCATGCTCTGGGCGCCCTTTCGTCGACGCCTGGTCCTCGCTGGAGCCCGCATGGAGATCAACGGCCACAGCGCGCCCATCGAGCGGGACCCAGTCTGCGTGTTCGACGCCCTGCGCTCATACTGGAAGCCCCACTTCACGGATCAGCCCGTGGACATGGACGCGATCGACCGCTACATGGACATGCACCTCCCCTCCTTCGAGGCGCCCTCGCTGCACGTACCCTCTGTCGACGCTCTCCGTGCTGCCCTTCGGCGTGCGAGGCCGTCTGCGCCTGGCCCTGACCGTCTGATGGCCGAAGCCTGGATGGCGGACGAGCGGCTCTCTGACGTCCTCCACTCCCTGATGCTGCGCCTCTTCGAGGGTGGAGGCGCTCCCCTGGGCTTCAACTACGCGGACATGGCCTTCATTCCCAAGGGCTCGGAGGCGACTGACTCCTTCGACGTGGTCAGGGCGCCTGGCCGCCTCCGCCCGCTGAGCCTGAAGAACGCCGATGCGAAGGCCGTGGCGTCGGCGACAAACATCCAGCTTGGTCACCTGACTGCCCTCCGCGCGCACCCTGCGCAGCAAGGCTTCATTCGTGGCCGCAATTTCCTTGGCCACATTGTCCGCCAGGATGCGATCGCTCGAGCCGCGAAGCACCACCCTGACCTCTTTCCTGCCTTCGCCCCCTTCGACCTCCGAGCTGCTTCCCCCCCCCTCTCCAAGGCGTTTCTCCACGGTGCTTGAGCGACATCGCATCCCGACGGGTTTTCTGAATGTGATTTCTGCTCTTTCTCTGGGGCTCTCGCCCACGCCCGATGCGGCTCCGCCAGGCCCCCGCTCTTCGCGGTCTCCTCAGGGGTCGCCCAAGGACGCCCCCTCTCAGGCACCATCTGGGGTCTGTGCATGGACCCCTTCTTACGCCACTTAGAGGCCCAAATAACCTGCCCGACAGCTCGCGACATGCGCCCTCGCCCTGTCAGTTTGCGCCCAGGGCTCCATCCTGAATGTGGAGCTACGGCGGACGATGTGGGACTCGCCCTTCCTTCGATTTTGCTCCCCCCCGCTCTCGCCCCCCCCTTCGACGCCGCCCGCACTCTTGCGAACCTGCCCCTTCAGCCCGAGAAGTGCCGCGTCGCCCCCCCGGCGGAGCCCTGCACGCCGGCCGCGGAGACGAAATTCCAGAGAACGATTGCAGAGCTCGCCCCTCAATGGTCAGAATTCCACGCGCGCGGACACACAACCTTCCTCGGCATTGAATTTGGCCCTGGCGCGTCCTTAGAACAACAGTGGGCCGCCCCCTCTCAGAAATGGCGCGCCCGCACCATCGAGACAGCTCTCTCCCGCTCCCCAGCGGAAGCCAGCTGCAGGCTCTATAATTTCTGCATCCCCCCTGTCCTTAGTTATGTCTGCCATCTCTTCCCTCTCCCCCCGTCCCTCCTCCAGTCTGAGCGTCACGTCCTCCACCGTCTCCTCCGCCCCCCCCAAGTCCTTCGGCCTCAGCGAGCTCCTAAGCATTGGCTCCTGGCTCCCATCTGCATTCCCACGATCCGCCCGCGTGCTCGCTGCCGCGTCGGCGCGGCGAACGGCCTCGCTCACTCTTCCCCGCGATGGGCTTCGGGGCTGGGCGGGCCCTCTGGAGACCCTTCGTGCGCATGGACAGATGTACGGCACTCTCAGTGCTCTAGCGAATAGGCGTTTCTCACCACAGTGCTGGATTCGCTCGTCTTCAATAGCCGAAGTCATAGAGAAGTCAATTTCGGCGACGGCCCCACCACCGAGCGTGGATGCTCTGGCCTGGCGTGCTGCAACGTCGGCAGCCGACGCCGAGATCTCGGCGGCGACGCAGGACGCCCGCCGCCCACGCCCTCAGCGCATCCTTTTTCCCGTCTCCTCTCCTCGTCTCTTTCCCCCGATGCCCTCCCCTCCCTGCTCCGTCGGCGTCTCTCCGTCTGGTTCCCGAGGGGTGACCTCCCAGCACCCCCCGAGCTGCAAAAGCGCTGGGAGGCCCTCCGCGCTGTCCTCTGCCGCACCCCATCCGTCTTGGGCTTGGGCCCACCTGAAGACCCTGGCGGGGGCCTGGACGACCTCTGCCCGTTTTCCCAGTGCTCCTGCGTGTTCCTGTCTCCTCGGCTGCTCCGACCCAGATGACTTCCCCCACTACCTCGTGTGTCCTCGACTTCTGCACCTCCTCGCTCTTCCTCGCGGGTTTCTCCCCCTCTCGCCCCTCACTCGTCTGGGTCTTGGAGCTGAGCCCGACTTGGAGACAGAGTATCCCCGCCAGCGATGCCACCACAGTACTGTCTTCAGCTTTCACACCTAGCACAAACTGAAAGCTGACCTCTCACTGCGTCGCCGGCCCCCGACGCCGCCATACCACTACGAAATCCGAGCCGCTGCACTCGCTGCCATGCGCATCTAGTGTTCAGGTCACCACGAAAGGCCTCAGGTTACGCGCGTTCCTCCCCCTCCCCCCCCTCCTCCCCGCATCCCCCTCCTTTCAGCCGTCGGGCACGCAAGGGTTATACGTCATGTGTACGTTAAATGCGGCACAATTCGTCGTCCAAGACTGAATCGGGTTTCGCCCCTCAGACGTCTCGACCAGAGCCGCCCCGAGGCTTGGGCTGGTTTGCAAGAGGGTGGTCCCACCACCACATCCGCCGAAAGGCGTCCCCTGAAGTTGGTTGTCGCCGTGAAAACGTTGTTGATGTCGATGTCCATGTCACTGTTGATGTGTATGTTGGTGTTGGCGATGGTGGTTATGATGTTGATGTTCGTGATGGTGTCTGTCATGGTCATTGTGATGATGGCGGTAATGATGGTGGTAGTGGTGATGATGATGATGACGATGTCGATGGTGACAATGGCGATGGTGATGACGATGGTGATGGCGATGCTGAGGATGATGATGATGATGATGATGTTTGTGGTGATGGTGATCATGATGATGGTGGAGATGATGTTAGGGCTTATGATATTGATGATAATGTTGATGAATATGTTGATGATGCTGATAGTGTTGATGATGATGGTGATGATGATGGTGGTGGTGCTGATGTTGATGCTGATGATGATGATGACGATGATGATAATAGTGGTGATGATGAGGATGAGGAGGAGAATGAGGATGAGGATGATGGTGTTGATGATGTTGATGTGATGGTGGTGATGATGATGACGACGATGATGATGGTGGTGATAATGATGGTGGTGGCCATGGTGATGGTGATGGAGATGATGGTGGTGTTGGTAATGGTGATGGTGATGGTGATGGTGATAGTGATTGGTGATGGTGATGGTGATGGTTGCGGTGATACTCGTCTTTATCAGCATCGGCATCAGCCTTGTCACAATCGTAATCAGCACCATCATCATCACCACCACCACCATAATCGTCATCATTCAGCAGCAGCAGCAGCAGCAGCAGTAGCGCATCAGCCTCGCCGTTGTCGGCAGTTCGCAAGAGGTGGGTGGGCTGGCGGGGGACGGCCCTCCAGGAGGGCGGAGGCCCACTTAGAAGGGGCCAGCCTCTCGGAGGAAAACCGCGAGCGCCCCCCGCGCCCTCTGAGGGGCGGGAGGCCTCATCGGAGGGCCTTTTGCTTGCCCGGCCCTGTCCTGTTCATTGTTCGCCGTTGGCGTTGCCCATCGCGCGCTCGGCAGGCCCTGGAGTCCGTGGCGCAGCGGTTCGGGGCCCACTGCCAGAAGGCGGGCCACGTGCACGAGGGCCCCTGCTACAGCGTCGGGGCGGTGCACAAAGAGGCGCGGGAGGCCACGGCACCACAACGGGTTCTCTTCATCCTCCCCCTCCCCTTCTCGTTCTCATCTTCGTCGCCCTCATCGCGTCGCACTCGTCCTCGTTGTCCTCGTTGTCGCGCCTTCGCCTACCTCTGCCGCCGCACCTGCCGTCGTCGTCGTCGTCGTCGTCGTCGTCGGCCTTCTCGCTGTCGTCTGACCTCTGCGCGGGCAACCAAAATGTGGAAGGAGGGAGGGGAGGGAGAGGAGACCGGAGGGAGGAGGGAGGAGGGAGGTTGGATGAAGGAGGAGGAGGAGGAGGAGGAGGAGGAAGGATGGGAAGGGTTGGAGGACGAGAGGAGGGATGATGAGGGATGGGGGGGGACAGGGAAGGGATGGAAAAAGATGAGGAACGATGATGAGGAGAAGGGTGAGAGCACGAGGGTGATGGTGACGAGAACGACGACGAGGAGGAGTAGGAGGAGGACGACGACGACGACGACGAGGAAGAGGAGGACGAGGACGGCGAGGACGAGGGCGAGGACGAGGGTGGCGACGACGCCGGCGACGACGGCGGGCGGCCCATGGGGCGGGGGGGAGCCCACGGGCGCCACCCGCCCGTCGAGGCGCTCGGGGCGCTGCTGGCCAGGATCCCGCAAATGGACCCGCGCGGCCAGAGGGAACTCTGAGGCGCAGGGTAGCTCTCCAGGGCGCTTTAAGCGGCGCACGCAGGTATCCCGATGCGCTCGGATGCTTCCAAGGGCCAGGGCGGTTCCCAGTCGCCGCGCCTCGCCAAGGGCGTTCCAGCGATGCTTGGATCGCTCCGGGCGGCCGCTGGGGCTCGAGTGATGATCCGAGGACCAGCGCTGGGGTCCCAGGGCCGTCCTCCTCCTCCTCCTCCTCCTCCTCCTCCTCCTCCTCCTCCCTCCTCCTCCTCCTCCTCCTCCTCCTCCTCCTCCTCCTCCTCCTCCTCCTCCTCCTCCTCCTCCTCCTCCTCCTCCTCCTCCTCCTCCTCCCCCTGGGCAATTCAAGGAGCTTTACGATCCTACCTTTTGGCGCTCGTTGGAGCTGGAGGGACGCAGGGCCTCGAAGTTGGGCGGCCTGAGTCTGCCGCGAGCCTCTTCGGAACCATCTCGGCCTTTTGACTCTCGCTTGGCCGCTTGGCCGCGGTCATCAGGCCAGCGCAGTCGGGCACAGGGCCCACGGCACGCGCTCCCACTCCGAGCCGCCCCGCGCCTCCATTTCTCCATTCCTCCTCCGCTTCCTCCCTCCTCCTCATCTTCTCCTGCGCGCACTCGACATTTACTCTTCCCTGGCCTCCCTCCTCCCCTCCCTCCCTCACCTCCCTCCTTGCCGATTTTCTTTCCCCCCATCCAGTAAGGAGGTTAGGCCTTCTAATAGATACGTAGCAGAAGAGAGTTGGGGAGTGAGAGGCTCGGCGACACTGGAGTTCAAGCCATCAGAAAAGCATTAGAAGCTAACTGGTCACGGAACTAGCTTCGCTCAGCTTCACGCCTCGCCCGGTCTTCCGCGCGCACCCGACGCGACAGCGATCGGCGCCGCCAGGCGCCCCAGCTCTTCGTCAAGACGACGTACATCGCGCTGATATACGGTGTTCTCATTGACGGCGTTACCTACGCCTTCGGCGACCCCGCGAGTTTCTACGGTCACGGGTACAAGCCGCAATACGACCATTGCGCCGAGCACGGCACCCTCAAGAACGAGTGCTATTCCCCGCGTGTCACACCATCAACAAGACTTGTCTTGGGCATTCTGAATGTTTCTGCCAGTTCATAGACGACGACACCTTCAAGATGGCTGGCAAATCCGATGAATATGGGAAAGTCGGTTTCAACCTATGTACCACCGGGTTCAAACCCAACATACGAGGCTACACGTTTCGGAGGTACATGCAAACGTTGAGTCGTTGGTGTAGAGTCACAGTCGAGGATCGCGAAGAACGCATCGGGCCCCTCATCGTGAACAGATTGAAGTCCCCACCTTTCACGCAAGCCATGAGTTACAACATCACAAGGAATGGGGTCACAGACCGCGGCGACCAGGCGATTGCGTTTCTAGCTGGCCCAGCGGACACGGGCACAGCTCATAAGCACAGTGGCGTTAGGCAGTTCCTGAACAAGCTGAAGCCAGTGTACGAGTTGCACGATTGTGTGGGCATTGTGTTGGGCGTATACTTCGACTGCCGCCGCGGCAGCAGCCACTTCACGACATGGATTGCACAGTACGAGATGGCGCACGAAGACGCCTGTGCAAAAGGCTGTATCCAGATGAACATGGTTGGTAAGGTACATTTTCGGTTCAAGAACTGCGATGTCAGTGAGAAAAAGATACTCGATGACAAGCTCCATGTCGGTGGCCGCTTGTCGCAATATTAGGTCATTCGCGGACTGTTCATGGAAATGGGAAAGCAAGATCCGTCGCAGCACCGACCAGGACGGCAACGAGCACTACCTCAGCGAGTATCAGAAGGCATGGTACGAGGCTTACGACGTGACCAAGTACGAATAGGCCGGGCATATGATGAAGGTTCGAGTGCCACCCTGAACGGCGAATGGCACTACATGGTTGATGATGTCATTTGTTTCCAACATGATCAGGATGGCGAACGCATCGAGGAACTCACCGTCGAGGACTACGCGACCTACGACGGCGGCCACAAGGACAGAAGCCGCGGAAAAAGGCGACGGCGGCGGCAAAGGCCGCAGACGCAGCAGCAAGGGCAAGGGCCGTGGCAAAGGAAAGCGCAAAGGCAAGAAGTTTGTTCCCAGCTACGGTGGCCGCGGCAATCAAGGCGGCGCTCCGAACGGCTGCAACATTAGCGGCAGCAAATGGCATCGCAGCGATCAGCGCCCCACGATGGGGCCAGCAACAGCAACCAGCAACTCCACGGAAGCCACCATGGGGACGCGGCCGCGGTAAGTCTGGCAGCCGACACTATGCGAATCGAGAGGCCTCCGGTTCTAGCACGTCAATTACTGGTCGAAGCTCTGCATCAGCTAGTTGGCATCATCTCCCCAGCTTCGACGTCGCATCTCTGACTCCCGCGGGCGGCGGTCTGACTCGAGACCATTCGAGAATTGGCTGGGCATGTCCATGATCTCCGGAGCGCGAAGTATCGACGCGGCAAACCAGATGCATCTTTCATTGGTCTCAACGGCGAAACAGATCCATCTCGCGGGGAGCTCTTGAGCAACAGTGGCGCCTGTGGTCCACTTCCGAACATCACTTATCGCGGCGACCTCATCGGCAACAGTGCACCGAGATGCCCCGCAACACTGCCCAACGCCACTCCACTGGAACAGGGAACACATGCACGCGAGAAAATGCTTCCGAGCGGCGATGGACTGTCGGCGCTGATACCGCCGAGACAAGCAGCATACAGCACGAAGCTGCATCTTTAGGATCCCAAGCATCTCCCCCTGCCGACTGCTAATTCGAAGGAGCAGACCATCGTCGAGCAAACCGATCCCATCAACGAGGTCGAGCGCCGCACGGCGGAGTTGCTGCGCAGGTCTACTACGTCGCGGAAGCGAAGTCTTGGAATTTGTCTGCATGCCGACGTCTGTCCTGAGAGAGAAGCACTACCCAAACGGGCCCTGCGAGCGCACGCGCACCGTCTGGGGCCCCTAACGAGCAGAATCCTTGCAAGGATGGAGACGGCAAAGACCGTCAAAATCTAGCTAAAGCCCGGCACCGGTTCACCGGCCCCAACGTCACGCGACTGCACGACGTCGACATTCGCACACGTGAGTTGCCATTGCAGCGACGCCAGGGCATTCCACGAGCACTGGGAGCAGTTCAAAGCATGGCCTGACGACATCACGGCTGGCGAGCAGAAACACATGGACATCGAACACCGCGCACTGCCAGGACAGTTCCACCATCGCGCTCGCCCCCCTATGATCACGCTGGACGACGCGGGCAACTTCAGCGCTCACATGGAGACGCGCCAGGCCGCGATACCTCTTCAGGAGGAATTTTGCTCGGGCACGGGACGCATATCAGCCGAGGTTTTTCTAAACCAGCGCATCGCGTTATAACCGATCGATTACAAACGCGCCTGGGATTTGCATCGAGATGGCCATCGCAGGGCTCTGAAACGATTGGCCCGGGCATTTCGACCACGACACGCGCTATGCGAAATCTGATGTCGCCCATGGTCGCAGTCAACGAATCGGGCAGATACTCGCGAGTTGGAACAGAAAGAACGGCCCACGCTGCATTGGTTCGCGACCACGCTGCCCCGAGATAAACTGCAGCACGACGGCAATTTCATCGCGGAGAACCCTTGGCGATCATATGCCTCGGCAGAGTCTCTTCTGAACGATTTAGACAAGCTCGCGCTGATGCACCATGGAACTCTACACGGCAACACGACGGATCAACCCAGGCATGGAACACGCGGGGAGGAGTAGGACTTGCTCATCGGGAAACGCACGACGTCCCAGTGCCCAGCGAGGCCGCGCGACACCTGCAAGTTCTGCAAGTGCGCGACCCAGCACGGCAACCCGCAGATGAACGACCCCAGCGGCCACAACAGGACAGCAAATGCGGCGCGCGATCCCAGTGAGTTGCGCAGGTTTCCGACAGGAAACACGATGCGGCATCTGCATCAGGCTGCACAACACATTCACTGGATGCGCCCTCTGCGCAAGCACGGAAATGCAGCGGGCGCGCTTCATTCCCGAGTCCACGGCTGCAGGTTCAAGCCTGCCGGGCTTCCTGCACCCGCAGCTCCAGCAGCACCCGCAGCTCCAGCGGCGCCAGCTGCAGCTCCAGCAGCATCACCGGCGGCGCCGAAGCCTGCAGCTCTGGAGACACCTCCAGCACTTCAGGCGCCAGCGGCAGCAGCAGCAGCAGCACCGATTGCCGACGATGAGAAGTCAAAGTGCGCAGCGCCACCACCTCCGATGCCACTGGCCCCGGAAGCAGCAGCACCACCAGCACGACGACGACCCAAGGATACTCAACGAAACGACGATCACAAGTACCGAACCGAAGGCGTCGCAGCCCAACTTCGACATCACAAAATTCGCGCAGAGAATACGCGAGGCATCGAGCGACACCGAGCGCATGAACGCGTCGGCCGATTCACACCCGAAGTTATTGCACGCGGCGGGCGCCGACGGCGGGACATCATGCAGAGCAGCGGGCCCGCCGCCTCCTGAAGCTATGCCATGGCATCACGCACCACAGCGAAGTGCGCAGAAACGGGATGAGAGTCATAAACATACCGCTCGTCAGAGGCACATTTGCCCCCTACTTCAATCAACGTGCACAGAGCGACCTACACTTCTTATTTGAGAAGGCGCGGCTGCTTCGCACCGGCGCCCCCTTTTTCGCCTCGCAGCGCGTCTTAACAGCAAGGTACCAGCCGACATCTTGAAGGGATACGTCCAGCTCTGGACCAGCATCTTCGGCCCGATGGAGACCCGGGTCATCGACCTAGAAGGAGGACTCACAGGCGACATGGCTTCTTTTTTCTGCGATCGCTACAACGCGACGCGCGAGTTCGGAGGCATTGCAGCACACGCTCGCACTGGTTTGGCCGAGCGCACGATCTCCCTGGTCAAGGCAGTAGCTCTCAAGATCAAGGCCAACTGCGCGAAGCAGGGAATCATTCACTTGAGCGACGAGGACATCGTAGCAGAAGCGACCACGGCAGGCA